ATTTAGTGATAATTACACGTATCAATTCTACATTATAAGAAACATATGTGATAACGCAGTCATTGCGAGATAATAATTGAGGCGGTGGGACTGTTTTGTGTTTGAACAACTTGTCGCGACACACGGAATGTCACAGTTTGTTTTGAACAGACGAAGGTACATGTTCAATGTGTAAAACCCATTTTCTGGTGTCCCTGGCATAATGCTGCTGAACTACTGGTAAAACTGTCATAGTTCCCATGTACTCACTGCCAGACACACTAACTTTCATTAGAGGCCGAAAAGTACCATGTACCTGAACGTGAATACATATCATACACACACATCCATGTACCCACTCTGCGGTTTTCATATTAATTAATTATAATTAGTGAACTTATATTGCGCTAAATCCATACAGACGCTCATAGTTCATTATTACCCAGGATAACCCAAACTGCCTGTGAGGCGCTGGAACGTTATAGTCACATGGCCCACCGGGTACCCATTTTCTGCTGGTTGAACAGAGGAAATTTTGACAAAACTCACTTGCCAAAGGTGAGACCACATGTATCACATGTGCTTCGTTGTGGGGCAGGACTGAAGTCCTAGAAACTATCAGGAGTCAAGCTGAGAAACGCGGCCACCCATCCAAAAAACTCTCTGCGCCGACCGTTGATCAACTGATTTGTGTCATGAACTCTCTACACAGGACCACACAACAACACCCTTTACATTTTTTGCCATCTGTATACATACATGTTAACACGTGACAGTACTTTTTTCTGTAATGAAATTGTTGTTCATTTAGAGTAATTATAGAAATTGTAGTAATTATAGATTGCTCAGCTACGAAATAATTGAGCGTCTCTTACACATGGAAAGGTCACAATACTGCACGTTTCTAATGATACAAATTAATTCTGGTCGTTGATCTTCCTCTGAGAGGCAATAAACGCGACACGAAGCGTGAGAAAAGCCCAAGCCAATAAACAATGCTCATTAAACATTGAGTAGAAGCAGCAAGGTATGTCCACTGAGGAGGATGGTCTCTGTTGTTCGTATGTAAGATATACATAAATTATGTCTGCACATTGTCCTTGACCGACCAAGCGCAGCGTCCATTGACTAAGGATCAAGATACCTTCTCAAAGAACAAAGTGCCCGTGTGGCGTGTAATGATCAAACTAGTATACTTCTGTCATGAAAGAATTATGCATTGGCACGAAGGTGCAAATGTTCTTGGCTTAAAGGTTAGAGGGACACAGGTGTTCGAGCCATCTAATTAAATTATAAGGGACCTAAATTTGCTATGCAGAGGTGCGTCTGTAAGGTGTGTCAGAAACATTTGATCTTGTTCCGGTTCAAATGAGTATTCATAGGTTAGTCAAAATGATAACCGACCCGTGAAGATCCGGGTTAGAATTGATCTTCAGTAACCCATGTTTCTCGTAAGAGGCGAGAACCATCTTATGACGCACCTTGGGGGTAAAGGTACTTCATGTCGGACCCGTGAGATATGGGTTAGAATTGATCCTCAGTAAACCATGCTTATCGTAAGAGGCGACTAACGGGATCGGGTGGTCAGACTCGCTGACTTCGTTGACACATGTCATCGTATCCCAGTTGAGTAGATGGATGTTCATGCTGTTGATCACTGGATTGTCTGTTCCAGACTCGATTATTTACAGACCGCTGCCATATAGCTGGAATATTGCTGAGTGCGGCGTAAAACTAAACTCACCATTCAGCAAGATATCCGTACTTGTGGGTTTCAGTAGTAAAACATCTGTATTATATATTCCTTCGGGTTTACCTCCCACTTCAAACAGACAAGTGATGTTACTCATATACTTTTCTAAGTGGCATTAACTCAAACGCAGACATTCCCTCATCTGAGTGCGAGGCTGTAGGAAGGAATGTTCTCTGATATCTTATACTTAGGACTCCGAGATATTTATATATATTATATATTCAAACCAGCAAGGTCCACTTAAATTAGCCCAGGAATTTATCGTTGAGTATGTGTTAGTTATCTGTATGTCTTCTTAATTTAATTTATCCCAGGAACATGTACATGCATATATCGCTGACGCTCAGGGATGACATATGCGCTCCTTCTTGTTCTGTTTTGCACCCCCTCTTGGTCTCTCTCTCTCTCTCTCTCTCTCTCTCTCTCTCTCTCTCTCTCTCTCTCTCTCTCTCTCTCTCTCTCTCTCTCTCTCTCTCTCTCTCTCTCTCTCTCTCTCTCTCTCTCTCTCTCTCTCTCTCCCTCTCTCTCTCTCTCTCTCTCTCTCTCTCTCTCTCTCTCTCTCTCTCTCTCTCTCTCTCCCTTCCTCTCTTTCTCCCGCACATGAACTCGTCCGTTTGTCGGTTAAGAACTGTGACTTCCGTATCTTCAAATATCTAGTATTAATCCATCATCTGTACGTTTAATACGTTTAAGTACTTGACAGGACTTGTTAGAACATGTTTACAGCACACTCTCTCTGTCTTATCTTAGAATGACCCGTTTCGCTTCAGCCAATGTAATAAACCACACAGACAACATCAAATTCCAGTAAATCATGTGGAATCCATCAAACAATATATCTAGTTGTTTAAGCCTAGAACCACCACCAGACGAACAAGCATAATACATCATTGCTTATTTTGTGAGCACCTGAGTCAGCCTGAGAGGGAGAAATGTTTAAGAGAGCGATACTTATCAGGCCCCGTATTTCGGCAAACAGACAAGTTTATTAGGGAAGTTTACAAAGGACAAGGTTTCCTGTAATTGTTTACCTAAAGGTGTTCAGAATTCCTATCCAAGTAAGTTATTTGGCTGATATGCAATGGCCGTGTTTGCTGAAAGGCGGTATACACTTAATTAAAATGTTAGCATCTCTATACAGCTTGCAAGGCTCTCTGTCGAGACCTCGGCACTGGCAATTGCAGTTGGAGTTCACAGACACAGAAATTCCGTTAAGTCTACCAGGCGATAACGTTAAGGTGCAGGCAGCCCTGAATCCAGCCAGTTGCACACGTACTTGGTCATGCATACATATAGAGAGATAGCAACGTGGAAACCTTAGGTCCCACGTCGCTAAAACAGAGTCAATTGTACAGTAGTGACTGTATCACGAGTATGTGGATGACGTATTACGCTGCCGGTGATTGGTATGTGTTTGTGGCATTCGGAACAGTTATACGACACAGCTAACCAGTCAATGTATATGTTACACAAGGCAGTTATTCATTCAATGTGTCACTGTTAGTTGTGATGCGCCAAAAGCATGTTAGCAGCATGTCCATAGTCCCCATGAGATGTAATATTGCTAAAAGGTTGGTACCAGCAATGCCACAATGAATATATGTTCTAATTTTCCAAGAAACACATCAGAGATAATTTGTTGACTCAAACTATGAAATAAAGTTAGTAGTGTCACGATTGATTGGACATTTTCATGTTTGAGTGTGTGAGTGAGTGAGTTATTATTTAACGTCACATCGGCAATTTTCATGTTTGAATGAAAGATACATTGAAATAAAGAATGGTCATAATGAAAGGTAACATTTATATAATGATATAACATTGCTTCGTTCTAATAAAATAAAAATATTTTCACAAGCGACATCCAGCGGTACCAAACGGTATGAAACATGGTGATAATTGATAAATAATAATAATATTTATTTAACTGAAATTTTCGTGTTATTAATGCATTCTTTACACTCTGAATGCATTGCATTAAATAATATGTTTACAGTTTCGCCAATGAGGGATTGAATGTTATTTTAGGCCGCAGTCGCATTTTCTGCTGCGTTAGAGAAGGTTCTAATTGAAACGTGAGCATCGATCCATGAGACTTGTGCCATAGTTAAGTAGTCAATTACGACACAGAAGCGGTCAAGGAAACTTATTCCGCACCGGAAATTCAGAGGGAGCAATTTGTAAATATAGAACGTCGGAGAATAATCAGTGTCGATTATCTGCCAAAACAGACTCTATTGGGCGAAAGGGGCAAAACAGCGGTGAAAATTATGTGATTGGATCACAGAAAATCAGCACCGTCACCAGGTGTTCGCGAAAACAGTAGGCATGCCCTGTCTTGCCGTTAGGACCCGGCACTCACACAACGTGTCTAAAATGTGTGCTTGTTCCAGACACTACTCTGCAGTACCCCAACCATAAAGGATTTTTGTCTTTGCAAACCGTCTATGATAGTGGATTAGTACGACAAAATCATTGATAAGAAGGTGCATAAATATGTTGATCTGTTAAGTTTGCTCACATACCAACATATGTTTCAACCTGATGCTTGTGTTTTCGTGATGGTCATTTTGAGCATCCGTTGTCGGACACCTCATTCGGGTATGATGTTAGCCTGGTAGTGCTTTGGCTCCCTATAATGGATGTTAGTTTGAAACCATGCATGATCATATAGACCATAAAAATATAGAAAAACGATTTATGGATGAAATTATTCATAAAAATGCTTGTATGAAGTACCACATTTAACCACCACCTGTTTATCTGAAAGAACTGGAAACCAAAGATTAACACGCTGTTTCCAAAGTTGTAGACCAGCAAGTGGTATAATCAATTGATTTGTTGCAACAATAATATATTTTTAACGGTATGTATATCGCGTGACAGCATGGATTTAACATTACACTCTCACACTGAGAACCAGCAGCATCACACAAGGAATGTTACAGCTTCTCTGGCATGGTATAATGTGGTTAAGTCCTATTACTCTCACAGATTACACTGTAACGTGACTGGATGCGTCGATGATGTCCAACTGTTCGACGCCTCGAGAAATAAAAATGCACTAATGTAGCATTTCCACGACCCATCCAGCTCTTTGAGAAACCATTCTGTATCATATAACTATTTTTCATTATAAGATGGGTAATATGTTCTTATTATACCGTTTGAATTAAGTGTTGGTATTAGTTTCTAAATGACACAGGTTATTTAAAAAAAGTTAGCAATAGCAATCTAAATATGAGAATTTTTTAAAGGAAAAACTTACCTTATCCTAAAGCCTGATACGCTTTCACCTCTTTCGGTTGAAAAATGTCCCTATATTACTCCGCTTTTTAGCCGCAAGTGTTCGTAGGATCTTGTTAGCGCGGTCTGTAGTAGAACTTAGGCTTCTATAATCATAGTGAGCCGGCTTTCCCCCTTCAACATGTTCTATACATCATATCGACCTACTGCAGAACCAAGGTGTCCTAGCACCGTAGCACAGTCATCCGAATTGCGCATCCACATTAGAAAATGAAACCATTGGCGATGAGAACCTGTTAATTATGTGGCTTGACGCGCTGGCTGTTGTATCTTGACTGGATTCGGTGTCGTAGATATCAATACTCTGACCAGAAAGGGTATTAGGGACATAAATTTACGTTTTATGTTTAATAACTTTAGTCCTTTGTGCAACAACAATCTAATCATTTTGACAATTATTGAATGATGTGGGATTTGGGAAATGAAAACAGGGTTTATTTCACACTCTGTATCATATTAATAAAGGAATCGATATCAAACAGCTGACGTTATTATATTTCATGTTTTGATAACGTGACACATGCAATTAACGTTAAAAGAATGAAATTGTTAAAGTTGTTTCAAATTCGAGGCTAGATTGCATTTACAAATTACCACACGATCCTCGTTAATCATAACCAAAACAGTAATTAAACTTCATACCAGCACAATGTGTTGATTCAGTTATGAGTGCAGAGGGTTCTTATTAAAAATATACAGAAGAGAAAATATACCATAGATTTGAAACATCGCAGCATACAATAACACAAGTTTATACTATTGTCCGAAAATGTTGTGTGGATCATTTCAAGCTATGGCTTTGAGTGAGTGAGTGAGTGAGTGAGTGAGTGAGTGAGTGAGTGAGTGAGTGAGTGAGTATTTACGAGTGAGTGGGCGATATCGCGGCGGTGGACGCCAAAAATAGGTTTCACTCATTGTACCTACGTCGGGGGCGGCGTGGGGTAGCCTAGTGGTTAAAGCGTTGGCTCGTCACGCCGAAGACCCGGGTTCGATTCCTCACATGGGCACAATGTGTTAAGCCCATTTCTGGTGTCCCCCGCCGTGATATTGCTGGAATATTGCTAAAAGCGGCGTAAAACTAAACTCAGTCAGTCAGTGTACCTACGTCGGGAATCAAACTCTGGTTTCCGTCGTGACAAGCGAGTTCCTCAACCACAAGACTACCCACTGCCCATCATTCTGTAGAGTCAAACTTATGCCCTGAAGATCCTTGGGGATTCCAGGTTAGAACTCGCTCCCAGCAACCAACACGTATGCTTGCAGTAGGAGCTTGATAAACAGAAGGTCCAGAAGGGAATCTCTATATACCGCCATAATAGAGATGGAATATTGCAGTTCAGGGAGTTGAACGGCAAAGTGACATGATACATGTTCGCCTGTATCATGTACCATATGTACGTGTATTCACTGCTCGTTTACTGTTAAAATTACGGTTCCTGAGTTCTGATCTCACATGGCCCCTTTTAATAGTTCAATGAGAACTATGGCCCCCCTTAGAGCCCTCGGGTTTGATTTTATTAAAAATGTCAAAAAGTTAGACAGTAGTGTGTGAATTTAGTTTTACGCCGTTTTCAGCAATATTTCATCAAAATCACTGCGGGGGACACCAGAAATGGGCTTCGCACGTTGTAACCATGTGGAGGATCGAAGCAGGGTATTTGGCGTGACGGATCTTCCAGGTCCACTAGGCTGCCCGACCGCCCAAGTAATACTGTATTTCACAACACTACATGTATGACTATTAAGCGAAATATGGTAGGTCTCCAGTACCTACACATTGACAAAGTAAAGTTTCTATTATGTCTTGTTAACATTTCCTCCAGTTAACAATATGGACGTTGTGTCATTTCCATGGTCATGTCGTAGGAAAGTTCGTCATTTTTTAATATGCATCCCATCAGCTGACAATGTTTCCTACATGAGGTAGCGATAGAGACCTTTACCAATTGACCCAATGTTCCACAGTGGAACAGAATGAAGTTCATTGCCATTGAACACGAAGTCCTACAGTAGGTCGGAGTGGTGGGATAGCCTCAATGGTTAATGCATTCTTTGGTCATGCGAATACCTGGGTTCTATTTATCACATGGGCGCAATATATGAAGCCCATTTCTCGTGTCTTATTCCGTAATATCGATGGAAAAAAATGCTAAAATGTTGCTCACTTACAACCCACAACAGATCTCTGTGCAGATCATTGCACGTTGAAATCATGTCCTTCAACAGATCTGTGTGGAGATCATTTCTATTTGAGCTTAGCCAAGTTTCACGTCCTTCAGTAGATCACTTTTGATTTCATTGTCAGTTGACATAATGCCCTCAAGGAGAACACTATGAAGAACTTTGCCATTTGTGACAATGCACCACAGTAGAACACTATGAAGATCATTGCCATTTGTGATAATGTCTTACTGTGAAATACTTTGGAGATCATTGCTATTTGAGACAATGTATCACAGTATAACACTATGCAGATAATTGCCTTTAGTGATAATGTCTTACTGTGAAACACTATGGAGATCATTGCTGTTTGTGACAATGTATCAAAGAAGAACAGCAAAACGTTCGTGGCCAGTTGATACAACGTCCCATAGGAGAACTCTATGGAGATCATTGCCATTTGTGACAATGTCCTACACAAACTCACCCTGCGGATCCTACTCTCCTTCACTAGATTATGATGGAGACCATAATCAATTGACATCTGCAATAGCTCTCTGTGGAAACCATGGCTAGTTTCAACAATGCCTTGCAGTAGATCACTATGGATCACTATTACAGAAAATCACTGTGGAAACCGTATCAAGATGGCAAATTCCCCTGTAGTATATCACGTTGAACAACACGGCCACGGGACGCCTTGTGCTATAGTATATTACTATGGAGACCGTAGCCATTGATTGTGTTCAAAGGACATGTCATGCTTGACTGTGATTCTTTCATCACAAGGGATACACAATGGAGAACCCTCACCTTTTAATGAATATTCACGAGTGTGCTTGCTGTGGCATCGGCGTACAATGACCTCTTCAAATCTGGACTGACGGCCCAAGTAGGTGTACATGATAGCTGGTGTTATTCCATGTAATGTATTTATATCTACTTGTGTGTCCAACTTCTTTTATTCTTAAATCCGGATGTAATCGTATATAATTACTGTAAGGTATCAGAAGTGTTGTCAGAATAAAAATTGAGCTGCTTTGGCCGGTAACCAACACGAGATCATATCGTATTGGCCAGATGCACGTTTTTATGCAGTCGAATAATTTCAGTTTAAAGTGGATGTGCACATGACATGTTATTAAGAGCCTGAAGGCAGGACAGAGAGTCAGACAATATTATAAACTGGGAAATATATTTAGACGATATATTGATACATTTCAAAGTTGTTAAAATGACATTTGTTTCAACCGAAAAACTGGAACAGGTACATGTAACAGGTACTCTAGATGAGTCCTGGATCGAATGACAGCACTTGGCTCCTTGGATTCATCACTAAATATAGGTGATATAAGTATCATATTAACGTTTTAACCGTTTATATTCTTGCTAATACTGTACATGATTTGTTTCTTTATTTAGAAAAAGTAAGTAGAAGAAAAAAACAAGCGGAAAGGATATATATTCAGGAGTTCACAAGTAGAAGAGGAAATTAAAGGTTAAATTTAGAATAGGAAAAGTCTTCTCATTATACATGTTCCTAATTAAAAGGTTGGAGTCATTAGACTATTGTTTGGTATGTGTTGTAAAGATACGTTTATGCGTCGCTGTTTGTGAGATGGCTCATCGGCCTCTACAAATACTCCCAATGGGCGATGTTCTGAAAAGTCCAAGACTAAGCAAAGACCTTGACATATAGGCTTAAAAAGTCACCAAGGGTAACACCGACAAATTGTACAGGTACAATCAAACATATGCTGTCAACTAGCCCTCAAATAGGAGCCACAAAACGTACAGTTCACCTCTTGACCCATCTGTACTTGTGTCCATGGTTGGTTGTGGATTATGCATTCAAGTGTCTGAGATGCGCCATGTATGTTACAATATAAGCTATTTACATGTATATCAGAATATAAGCTGTTGGCATTTGTATAAAATCGGCTTCTCATACTTCACTTGCAATACATAGACATATTACCATATTGGATCAAAATCGGTTCAAATGCGACAACATGTCATTCAGCTAAGCGTATTGTATAAACGTATATACGGTTGAATTAAACGGTATTCATGTGGAATACATCTGTCTCCTTGTGCTCAGGACAAATGTGTTATATAGTTTTGCGTATGCCTGACATTGATGGAATGACGTGCATGTCAGTTAGTTCCTTAATCATATAAACACTTTTGTTTTCCCCAGGAACCAAAGAGGGCAGGGCGACAGAATATCAAAAAGGCGACAGAATTTCAACAAGGGCACCCTAATCCCAAAAGGGCATGCAATGCCATATTTCCAAGTATTATGTTAAGTTATTCATGCATATGATTCTTAAAGGCTCAAATAGCACATTTATTTCACTTAACTCCAACATGAGATAGAAACTAAAAACCACCAAGTGTTAAAATCAATTATTGTATTAAAAGAAGGGGAGGATGCCAAACAAAAAGGGCAGGGTGCCAAATAAAAAGTGAAGGGGAATGCACCCTGCTAAAAATACCTGGGGGAAACACTTATAACATAACTGGGATGTTTTCACTCGTATATTTGGCCATATTCAGCATTAGTTCAGCTACATAACGGCGCTCTGCAAGTACTAGAGTTTGAACCAAACCTCCAGTGACAGACATCATGAGCATTTGTGATACGATGACTTTCGTCAAGACAACCATCTTTAACGCAAGTTTAGGCTGCCACGGACCATTTGGGACGCGCGACTTCACTGGGTTTGGGGTATTTCAAAAAGTGACATTCACCCATTCGTAATTGATCGAAAACTGGTAGCAAATTTCTCCATCTTTGGGAGTGTAAACTGCACCATTTATATAAAACAGGACAGATACCAACAACTGTGAAGGTTATCTGTTCATCTAATTATGGTATAGAGTCTAAACATACAGGACTAAGTGAACATACGTTAGACAGATGTGTGTTATAGTAAACGTTTACAC